TGGCGTTACCGCTGCAGCTGCCGCATCTTAATGAAGTACGGCTCTGGTGTAGAGCTCTTTTACGTTGTGTATTCCTGTCATAAGTAATTATGGTGTGTACATAGGCCCTTCTGTTTCCCACTGATGTAAGCCTGTGTTGAAGGGAACTAATTAATAAAAGCGTTTTATAGTGGTTTTTTTTTTTTCCCCATGACCGCTGCCCTATAGTTCCTGCCTTCCCTTACTTGCCATCTGCCCCCTCAGGGAAATCACAGAAGAGCAGAGATGTGCCTGGCCATGGGCTCGGCTTTCTAAAAATGACACTCTCTGCAAAAAGTTCTGACTCAGCCTTTTGGCTTTCAGTCTAGCAGTCGAAAAGGGTTTCTGTTACTATCTCTGTGAAGACTGTACTTTCCTTAGCTTGGAAACGGGCCTGTGAGTAGGGTCTGGATAAGTAGCACTACTAATGGCTTGAAATTTACAGATTGCAGATGTTTGCTATTTTAGTTAAGTGTTTGTGCACTGCCACTTCCTACTCATCTATGCTTTGGAAAGTGAGATGTGAAATGCCAAAAAAGTGTGCTTCTGGTAGATACTATGTGAATTTGACTCTGTCTGCCTTTGCCTGCTTTATGGAGAAGGAGTCTCTGGGAGAAGGAGTAAATGAGAGTCGCAGTTGTGGTAGGTGCTCTAGGTGGATATTCCTGAGTGGCGTCATTGATCATATTTAAATTTCAGTGCTTCTCAGAGGTTCTGAATACGAGTTGATCTCGTATTTTACAATACTTTGTCTGTTAATTTGCTATTGTCACCTGTATTGTCTTAAGTACTCCTTCAAACTCTGGCAACTTCAATGTGTGGACAAGTGCAGAAGGTTAAATTAATGGAGGCTAAGTAAGTATGTGCTCTTGTTTGAAATTTGATCTGCACACGAAGGTTAGTATGACACAGGGTTTTGTCCTAGGCCCAAGGCTGCTTCGGAAACTCTGTTCTGCATCCAGTCATGTCATTAGACTTCAGTATGACCTTGAGCAAGTTGATAATTTGCTTCTTAAACAGAACTGATGTAGTTGTTTAATTTACCGAAGTTTACTCTAACTTTTATGAGGTGCCTATCTGCTTCAACAGGTGCTGTGTGATGTTAGTTACTAGCTATTCAAAGAAGGGTATACTGTCTACTTTTATGCTCCTGGCAAAACTACAGGCCACCACATGTTGCAACGCTTCCTATCCTTTTTCATATCCTTTTATGTTCTTCATCCCTTGCACATCCATGCTGCTGCTTTACAAATTAAAGAGTGTATTAGATTCAGAGAATAAGAATAGGACATAAAAGTGAAGAGCAGTGTGAAGCTCACTGATAGCAGCAAAAATGACTTCTGTAATAAACATGCCATAATATTTTGAAGATGAATTTGAAACTGACCTCACTTAACACATGCTAGCCAGAAAGAAAACCAGAAGAAAATTATTTGTAATAGGATTCTATGAAATACTACATCTATCAGTGGGCAATAGATTTAAATTTCCTTCAAGTGTAGAAATACCAAGAAGTTTTACTGAGCTTGGTGCTGTTGTAATTCTTCTATGAAGTAACTTAGAATGTAAGCCTCAACTGCTGCTTATGTTGGTAATTTTTCTAGCACCCTTTTTGTTACGTGTAATTGTAGAGACTTTACAGAAATTCCTGTTAAAGGAAGAAATTGCAACAGTGCAGTGTTTTGAATTTGGCATGTGTCTTGGTATGTTTAGAAGAAAACCTATTTATTACATACTAGTAATGAGGAAATTACATTAGAAAACATTAAAGCTGACTGTTCTGGTGGCTTGTGCATTGGTATTTAAGAAAAGTTGTGTCTACTGCTGGTGGATATTTTTAGGCCTGTTACATCTGCGTTTGTAGAAGGTGTCTAAACTTGTTTGAGTTTGACCAAACCTGGTGGAATTTCCTGGAAATTGGTAGCTTACTTAAAAAAAGCTGTACTGATCCCTGTTTGGTCAGTTGACTTTAACTTTAGATATAGTGGAAAACCTTGTTTGACAGCTATCTTCCAGTTGCTGCCATGTATTTGGCTCTGTAAAGGCTTTCTAAGCATTCCTCACATGTAGATCTTTTCCTTTAATCGTATGTAGCTATAAAAACCAAACACATTGTTCAGTGCCATGTACAAGAAGACTAATTTTTTTTTTCCTGTGGTGCAACTGAGTAAGCCCTACAATCCTAGCTGAAAGAGGATTGGGAGTTTTCTTGTTCATCCAAATTGACAGTTATGTTTATAGGATCTAAGGCTTAACTGCGGGCTGTCTGACATGCGAAAACAATTGCCTCTGGTCAGTAGTGAATGCAGAAGCAGCTGGTTGGACAACAGCATTTCGTCTGCCATTCTAATGTGTACACAATTGTCTTTAAACATGTTAAAACTGAACAATGAAAAGATTCTGTAATGAAGTGATCAAGACTTGCTATAGTTCTGAAATAATCTGATCTGGTCTTGTTTCTCTTCCTCAGAGTTCTGATTTCAGTCATTGCTAGCCAATCCATTATATCTTTACGTAATACCATCACAATGCCTGTGGTAAAAGCAGTAAAATGTCACTTTCCTCTGCTAGTGGTTTGATTTTGTGAGCATGACACTATGCAAAAAGGCAATGGGCTGGAGTATCAGTCAATACATCATTGCAGATTCGTTGAAAACTGCCAAGGAAAGGGTCAGAAGAAACAGGTACGAGCGTGGCTTAGGGCTAGTGGAGAGATTCCTTATACAGGATGTAGTGTTGAGGTTTGCTGTGGATGTTGTGAAAAGATAAAATATTTTTCTTGCTTTTTAGCAAGCAAACAAATGTGATCTAAGTTGTAAATAGTTATTAAGAAATTGCTTAAGGAGGGGACCTCTGCAACATCCTTTTGGTAGTCTGGTGTGCTTATTAGCTCCCTATGCCTCAATTTCCTAAATGCTGTCAAGTAACAATGTTAACCTGAGCAAATTGAAACTCTTGAGTCCAATTAGTTAATAATGTTTTAATTATAATTAAGACAGGTTTTTACTTTTTTTAAAGAGCCAAATCTAGCATTTGAGAGTTAGATTTTTTCCTAGAACTTATTATCAACCAGCCTGAATTAAATAACAGAAAATTCTTAGTTACTTCCTCACCTCGTCCTTTATTTTTACTTAGATATGCGGATATGCTCTGAGCTTTGATTATACAACTTAACTTCGTTTTGACTATCAAGTGTTGATGTGTTTTTGTCAAATTCTTAGAATATGTGACTGTCTACTCAACAAAATTAGACTTGGTAGTCTTATTTAATTTAAAAATGCATTTTGATGTGCTTAACAGTTTTGCCCGCTTAGTATGTGTTTTGTAAGCTGAATCTACTGCTTTTAATAGCTGGAGTAGTAGACCACAGAAGTAACCTTTATTCTCTTTCTCAGCTATCACTAAGCTTTCCTCTTTGAGGTCACTTTTAATTGGAATACATAAGTTATTCGCCAAAATATTTTACCACTTCTAGAATAAGTTTACAAATCACTGTTACAGATTTATTCTGTATATAGAATAAACTGTCAGCTTAGTTGTTTAACGCTAGCTTCTTTTGACAATAGACAATGGTAATTTTTCTTCTGGGTTAACTTTTACCAGCTTTTTCTTTTTCTTAATTGGTTCTCTGTTCGGTTGCGCAAACAGTAGTTTTCTTATCTGGAGAAGTTGTATATGACAGTGTGGTGCCAGTAGGTGGTCTAGGAAATGGCTCGGGAGTTGCAGTAACATGGGTAGCAAAACATGTAAAGTGGCATATTATAAAACAGATTCTTGAGTTCTCTTAAACTAACAACTGGAGATCTTTAGTTTGGTGGAATGCTTCTTAGACTTCTGATACTCTTTTTCTTTTCTAACAAAATGTGTTTCCTGATCCCATCAGAATAAGAGTTGAATTCACCATGACTGGAATGTGTATGATGAATTTCCATATATGTTGAAATGGTGATGGTTAAAAAAATTACAAGGTTCTTTTACAACTTCTCTCACTTGTTTTTGTAATTCTAGGAGACTCTGCAAAGGATTGTCTCTACTCTAGCGAACAAAAATGATGAAATTCACAACTTCATTGACATGCTGAACCAAACAATAAAAAATGTTCAGGTATATATATTAAGGCTCATAGGTTGTAGCTAAAAGGGGAGCAACCTTCCAGTTTTGTCAGTCTCAGACTGTTTGGGTAGTGTGTAAGGGATGGGCTGTAAGAATCAAGTTTAAAATGTATCTTCATGTTGGAACCAGATAGAAAAATATGTTATTTTTTAAGTCTCTGTCTAGTTGAAAGGTATGGTGGTTTTGCTTTTCATGCCAAAAGCTAATGTAGGATTTGATTTGTGTGGAAGAGAATCTGGATTTTTTTTGTGTGGAAGAGAATCAAGATCTCAAACTCCTGTTAGTCAGAAGTAGTCTATCTTTTTTAGACTTGTAGTCTGCTTGGCAAACTGAAAAATGAGACCATCCTGACACTTGAGAGAAAATTCTTTGCTCTTTTCAGTAGTTGCAAATTGTTGGGCTTAAGTTAAGTTAGACCTAATTTTTAGAGCATCTACTCTAGAATGAGGTTTACGTTCATTTAGCCTATCAATAAGCCATAAGTTGTTTGTTTTGTGTTAAAGCTGAGCTAAGTTAACTGCAGAAATGGAAATCATCCAGCAGATTTCTAAGCTGGCTTCTTGAGTGCAGTTTTAATATCAAATTAAACCATTTAATATGGAACTGGGTAACTACCTCCTTATAAACATCTAGCGATCCATATATAATTGTAGGAGGGAAATCAAGGCCTTTTGGCATGGAACAAAGTTGCCAAGTATGTTGGTTCTGTGCAAGTTTGAGTATCATGGAATTTTCATGGCTTTCAGTCTTCAGTGTCTGCTTAGGAGGTGTCCATCATTCGTAATGTTTTTTCCCTTTTGATAAGGTGAGGAGCGATGACAAGGTATCTAGTGGTCATGGCAAAGCATGTTTGGGCAAACAATGTAACTGTCAGTGTAAAAGACTAGTCTGGATTGTTTCCAATACAAATTGCAGCAGTTTCAATTCTCTTCTCAGGTAAACTCTTCGAATGCAATCAGCGAGTTGGATGAAGAATTTGAAGGTCTGTATTCTATATTGGATGAGATGAAGGGGAGTATGGCCAACACTATTCAGCAAGAAGAGGCTCGTAAAATTCAGGCTCTGCAGGTAACTGTATAACTACATCTAAATTTTTGCAGCGGAGTAGAAGCAGTTTTAAACTGTTATTTTAAATCTCAACTGAAAATGATATTTTGATAGCGTTGCAAGAAACGCAGTAAGTGTAAGGTAAATGTTTTCTTTGATTATAAGTACTTCTCTGGTCCCTTCTTCTAGGGTACTTCATGGTTTCTAGCATATTTATGTTCTCAACATTGTTATGTAGAAAGGAAGTGGCATTACCTGTAGAGTTTACAGGTGGAGAGTGGCTGCATAGGAGCAGGACTTAGATATGTTTACTACCTTCAAACTAACGAACAGCTTCTGGATGGAAGTTGGTTTCTTTCTCCAGTTTGGAATATGAGCATCTGAACCTGTAAACATGTCTAAGTGACTTACCTGGGCTTGAACTTAGAGTTGAGAATCATGCCAGGTATCCTAAGCACAAGGGCTGATCTCCTGTTGGCAGTTTCCTCCACTTGTTAACATCAAGCAAATTGTATGTGCATACTGGAAGACATACAGGAATTGCTTGGGAACAGGTTACACTGGTGCCTGCTACTAAACCTGCTACATGAACTTAATCAACTTGTAGTTGTATGCTGTCATGCAGGAGAATCTTTCCAATGGGTTTCAGAAAAACAGAAACAAAAACGCAAATTTCTGAAATGTGTATAGAGTCTATTTATACTATAAAATAAAACTATACTTTAGTATACTATAGTATATATACTACACTATATATTTTCATATGTAGTATAAAAAAAAATAGTTTTTCCAGTACCGTGTAGCAAGTTGGCTCTAGCTTTCAGAAAGTCTAGTTGCATGGGGCCAAAGCATGTTAAATATCTTAAGCAGAAGCTGTTTCTCTAGCTTTTTTCTTTAAATGATCCTAGTTGCCGTATTCTTCTGTCTAGTTCTTTTTGCTTATACAAAGTGGTAAGGAAGATGTTTGTTCCTGAAAAAATTCACCTTCTGGTGTCTAGTCAGTTTAAAGAAGTTCTAGGAGCAGTTGCCTGAAACAAATTCCACAGGCTTCCTTATAAGGTCTGTTTTATGTTCATAATTAAAAACTGGGTGTTCTGAGTGCACAATTTAAGTTAAGCACTTAAGTGCACTTTTTCACCTCCAATTTAATCTTTCTCCCCATATGTCTAAGTCCTTGTGAAGTTTTTCAACAGACAGAGGTCTACCCAAATCCAGGGACACTTAGGACTGAAATGCTTAAAGAGTAAGTGCTTCTCAATGAACAGCTTACAGGAGAAATTCAGCTGTGGCATGTATCAATTATTCTACCTTCTAGTGAAGAAAAACTGAAGCTAATCTTGCAAGAAATGATTCTGGAACTGAAAACTGTTTTGATAGTTACTCATCTGGCAGCTTGACTTGACCATTGAAATTTTCTGTTAATTCTGTTAATATCTCTTCATTTTCTGATAGTTAAACTAATTTGATCAAGCTCAGGTGTGGCTGAACCAAGTTCTTCTGAAAGCTTGTCAGTGTGGTACAGCTGTATCAAGAATTGCTGCTGGGTATCTGTGTTGAACAGTTTGAGCTGCTACTTGGTCAGAAGAGGATGAAGATGAGTGGAATGTTACAGATCACTGACACAGCTGTTAAGTGCCCTACTTGTCTTTCAGCTGAGGCTTTTCTCTAACTACAGGCCCAAAGGACATTCTCTTTACTTGATGACAGACCAAGCTTCCTCTAACTGAGTCACTGCAAGAGTGCTTTTCCCAATAGTCAATCTACCAAAACAAACTAACATATGAAAACTGTTGCACTGAGTGTATTAATCCAAGCCATTATCTTTGACTGGAGCTGAAAATCAACTTTCTATGAGGAAACCAAAGGAACTTCAGTGAGGTCTAAACATCCTGTTTAAAGGAATGGACTTGCTTAATTTATTGTCCTCTTAAAGTGCTTGTGTTGTAGTTAGTCTTCTGTAGTTGACTAGATGCTCTTGTTGAGAATAAGCTGTGACTTAAAATACTGGGAGTACGTAATGATGGAAAAGGGTGAGGATTTAATATTTAGACTGACCCCTCCCAAATAATTTCCTTGGATGTTAAGGCTGAAAATTAGAAGTTCTCCTTAAACCCTTGCTTTGAAAATATATTGCTTCATTTTGGGGCAGTGTATTTTAATGACACTAAAGTATTTATTTTTAACTCCCAAATGCAGATGCATCTCAGTTAAGATGCTAATGGAAGCATCCAGTTACCATGTCATTTCTGCAAAGCTGTTTTTGAAAATGCCTCTGGCATTTGCTTCTCTCTGAGGTGTTTGCCTGGGACATTTTGGCAGTATCATGGTGTATCTGAGTTTGTCTGTGTTGGATATCCTCCAGAGAGGAGAGCAGCTGTATTAGATGAATGACAACTTGCGCTAATGGCATGCTTCAGAAGTTATCTGGAAACTGCATACAAACCTCTAGCTATTGGACTGTTTCCTTGCTGCTATTTTATCCGTGAACAGTAAATCTGAGGGGCATCTGGCAGCTGGCCCAGGTCAACTCACCGCACTTGCCAAAACTATTACACTTCTGAAGTGCTTGAGAGTGGTCTGTTCTCAAAGTTGATGCAACAGTTGGTTGCTTTTGAGACAGTGACTACTTTAGAGCAAGCTGTCTTTCCTGAAGTGTTTTAAAGAAAAATAATTACTTGCTGTTGACTTGTTCTGAGATACTACAGTAAGTATCACATGAGTAGAAAAACAGCTGTAGGTTGAATGGTATGCAAAAGCTGCTGGCTTTTAAAATGTGCATCCTGTTTAACCTACAATGTTTAGGATCCAGTGTATTCAAAACTAATCTTTTTAGGGATATACCCATAGTATGTAATATCAGAAGTTCTCCGTGGACTGTTCTATATACAGGGAATGGTAGTTTGCTAATGATAGAGTTTTAGATAATCATGAAAGAAATTTCTCTTCTGTCCTTCTTCCTCTGTTCCCTTTCCTCTACTATCCCCATTTGTTACACAGTGTTGTAGTTTAACCCAGCAGGCAGCCAAACACCACACAGCTGCTCGCTCACTCCCCCCACCCAGTGGGATGGAGGAGAGAATCAGAAAAAAAAGTAAAATTTGTGAATTGAGATAAAGGCAGTTTAATAGAACAGAAAAGGAAGGGAAAATAATAATAATTATGATAGAATATACAAAATAGGTGATGCACGATACAGTTGCTCACCACCTGCTGACCGATGCCCAGCCAGTTCCTGAGCTGAGGTCACTGCTTCCCAGCCAGCTCCCCCCAGCTTATATACTGAGCATGACATCATATGGTATGGAGTACCCTGGAATACCCAGCTAGATTAGCTGTCTGGGCTGTGCTCCCTCCCAGCGTCTTGTGCACCTGGCAGAGCATGGGAAGCTGAAAAGTCCTTGATTAGTGTAAACACTCCTTAGCAACAACTAAAACATCAATGTATGATCAATGTTATTCTCATCCTAAATCCAAAACACAGAACTATACCAGCTACTAGGAAGAAAATTAACTCTATCCCAGTGGAAACCAGGGCTTAGAGCGATATTGATTTTCAGGATTGTCTTGTGATAATTCTAGAGCTGGTTGGAGGTAAAATCATTGCCTTTTTCAAGGCTACTGCTACATTAAACAGTATCAGTTCGTTGATGAAGTGCAGTTCTGTAAATAGAAATTGGAGTGTGCACAGATGCAAGCATTTCTTTGCTTCTGAAATCCTGATGTTGGAAAAACAGGCCTTAAAGTGAAATCTGGCCTTTAAATCAGACTTTACCACCTATCCAGCTTTTTCCTCTTTGGATTTATAGGATGTGCCATGTATCACTGCACTTCTCAAGCACAGTGAAATTCTAGTTAACGTGATGTGTCAGAGGTAATAGCCTTGATTAGATAAGGTAATAAGTTGTTACAAATGCATAGCAAAGCCATGTAGTTCTAGTACTGGTAGTTTATAAACTACTTTTGTAATGTGAATACACCAGATTATTCTTACTTTCTGTTTTTGCTTCAGGATCAGCTTAGCCAGTGTAGTAATGCCCTAGAGAGTTCTGAAGAGCTGCTGGAACTTGCTGCGCAGTCGCTGGACATAAAGGACTCTGCGGAATTCTTGAAGGTAAAAAACACTGAATGGGTGTGCATAAGGCAGATGTTAGTATTGTCTCAATTTGAAATACCCTTTGCATTACTGTACTGGACCCTGCAAACTTACCAGGAATACTGAGAGTAAGGATAGAGAGGCACATAAAAGTACAGTTAATGCTCTGTTGAGGAGGCCGACTCAAGCACTGTAGTCCTGAATTTTTTTGCAATCTCTAATAAAATAAGTTTTTTCTTATTTAGAGTGAGGTGGGAGGGAAAGGAATGCCTTGTCCAGGACAACTGTCAGTGTTAAGCAAACTTGCACTGATGCTAAGTAAGTGAACCCAGAAAGTGAGGGTGAAATAAATCTATAAAACTGAACCAAGACTTAAAAAATGCGTGATGGCCAGCATTCAAAGCCATGGCAAGTGATCTGTCAGTTGCCCAGTGCTGTTACATGACACTTGCAGAGAGTCTCTGTATTCTAGCAGCAGCCATCCATGGATGGTAAGATGTTTGTTTTGCAGAATTTCATGCAAGCTGTGGATCTTTAGTTTGCAACCCTGAACTCTATAGCTGTCCTGAAAGATCTTATGAAACTGAAGGTTGCCCCTTTCAGGGCAACTCTTCCTCTATTCCCCAAAACCTTCTAATGCATTTGTATACTGTGTAGGCAAGAGCCTGATTTGGGCCTCAATTGCAATTCCAATACAAGTAACGTATACTTTACCACAGCAGACTTGTAAATAAGGCAATATGTATCTAACTGGAATAATATACTTACAAATTAATAAAACAGTTCTACATGTACACTGACTCAGTACAGTAGGCTTGCTATAATAATCCTTGCATTAGTAGTAGGGTCAGCCACACCAAGTCCAAGACCCAATTACTTTTGCCTTTCTGCATTTTAACAGGAACAAGGACACAAATTATTCTAAACGAGTGGGCAAGAAGGCTGTCTTACTGTGTCTGTTGTACCTTTTGGCAACATGTTTGTGTGCTGCCATGCTTCCTGAGTGTCAGCTTTGATTTACTTGCCTTGAAAAGTGACAATTCCTAAACTGTGTTTTTCTTAGCTCTTCAGTTGGAGTTGTCCTTTTTGTCTTGTCACAGTGATGTGTAAAAATAAAGTTAGCTCTTGAGCACTATGCAGAATGTAGCTTTGAATTTATTGTAAGTTGTTTCTTTTCAGATATCTCTAATGCTTTTTTCAGTCAAACTAAGGAAAGTTATTTGAGTGTTTGCTAGGCGGAAAATCTCTTCAAATTTGGAGTCTGAGGCTTAAGATACTGAAATCCAATTCAGTGAATTCTAATATCTAGGATTTGAAACTTGTATTACACTAGCTTGCACTTGTAAATGTGCCTTCAGATATGGCATTTAAGGTAATACTGCCTTGGCTACTATTGCTCTGCTAATAGCAATACCAAGTGTTCCTGAAGGGGCAGCTCCAGCCCTGACTTTATTTTATTGGCACAAATTTTCTTTGGATCCTCAAGTAAATAGGGTCAGGAGAAACTAGCATAAGACTAAACTAAGATTATTTTAAATTTTTTTTTTCCTATGTTAGAATTTCAGTGGCTTTATTTGCTGAATTGACTTACCTGAAAATCAAAAGAACATGAATGCCAGCACACAGGAGGGTTCAGTGGTTAGATAGGATGTGATTTGACACTGCTGGGCAGCTCGTCTGAGATAGGCTCGTACCCTTCTTTGTCAGTAGCCTGGAAACTAAATTCAAAGGAGTTAAGCCAGGACTGTCTTGAAGACTGTTCCTTGAGTCCTGGCTATTACATACAACCCAAGACATAGAAGTGGCTTTTGCTAAATGTGTATCCCAATACTTGAATGTCCCACCACCCATTGCCCTCAGTGTAGTCCTGAGCAGTCTGTTGTATCGTTAAATTTTTCCAGAGGCTGGTGCATGATAGGGGATGTGATATACCCACTCAATGCCCACGTGTCTATGAGGGTGTTTCGAAAATGAGTTCTGTTTTCTGACTCTATTTCTGGGATGCCATGTCGCCATAGGACTTGCTTTTCAAGGCCCAGGATGGTGTTCCGGGCAGTGGCATGGGGCACAGGATATGTTTCCAGCCATCTAGTGGTTAATTCCACCATGATAAGCGTGTAGTGCTTGCCTCGTCCATTTTGTGGGAGTGTATAATCAATCTGCCAGCCCTCCCCATAT